GAGCACGCTTGTAGTCTCATCACGGTCCAGCAGAGGGCGCTTGAAGTTCAGGGATTCCTTTATCAATCGGCTTTTCTTGCCTTCCCAGTACAAGGAGGAGCAGCTCATCGCCGCCTGCGAGAAGTGGCTGGAAGTGAACTTGGTCCCTCTGATGGGGACGCAGATCCACCTCCGGAAAATCCCAAAGGAGCTGCTCCACAAAGTGCTAAGGTCCCCCAGGTCAGAGCCAGCTCTGGGGTGTGTGTGCGTGCGTGCGTGCATGTGCGTGTGTGTGCATGTGTGTGTGCTGAGTGTTGGACCTGGTGAGGTCTGGGGGCGCAGGGCTGCTGTGGGGAAGGGAGGTGCTCCAGCAGAGGCAGCACCCACACCCCTGCTGCACGTACCCAGTGTGCAGCACCTCCTCCACCCCAAACTTTCTCCTCTCATGGAGAGCTGGGCTTTGGATGGGGGCCAAAACTGGGGTGCCGTGTGTAAGGACAGGGCGGGGGCACCCTTCACGTTGTTCATCATGATAAGGTCCCTCTGGGTGCCCGCTGTCTCATTACTCACCCGGTAATGAATTAAATAATTGCCTAAGTAATTTTTTAAACATCCTGCCAACATTAATATACATTCATGATGGAAACTGGGAGACAGGGAAAAACAGAAGAAGGAAAATAAATCAGCTTATTTTCCTAAATCAGTTTCTATCTCCAGCCCCGACTCCTCTTGTGAACAGCTCTGGACCCAGACATCCAATGACCTGTGTGACCTCTGACAGTTAAGGCTAAAACCCAACCCTTGGTGGCCCTGCCCTGTTACTGCCCCTTCCCCTCGCCCCCAGTGTCCCCAGCTGCTCAATCTAGCACCTTGAGGGTGCCCTGGACACCAGTTCACACTCACTCCCCCAGTGAAGGGAGATGCACTTCCAGACGGAGCCAGCGCCTGGGGGCGTCTCTCCATGGACACCCGCTGGAGGCCAAACCCCCCTGTCTCATCAGGATCCCCCAGGAACCTCTGACACAGGGTCTTGCATCCGCTCTTGACTCCCTTCCATACATCTCCAGCCAAAGAGCCTTTGGCCCTGCTGACCCGGCACCTCTGCCTCCATCTCAGACACCCTGGGGCAGCAGGGCCACTTCCTGGGACCCCAGCCCCACTGAGCTCCCTGCCACCTACAGCTCCTCTGTGCCTTGGCCCCTTCCCACCTGAAATGGCTGTCCTTGTGGCCGTCCTTGGCCGGCTCCCTCTCCGCTTTCCAGTGCTCATGGACACCTCCCCAGGTTAGATTATTTCCAATGTTCTACCATATAAATAGCTCCTTGGTGGCATTAAATTAAATTCCTAGAAGTGAAACGACTACGTCCAAAGGAATTTCTGTTTGCTTTTATTCGTGTTTTTAAATAATTTCAAACAAAAATAATTTCAAACAAAAAGTGCAGGAATAGTACAAAGAATATCTCATGCCCTTTACCCTGCTTCGTTCGATCTCTGTATCTGTTTATCTACACACACATTTTTTTTTCCTGAATCCTTAGAGGGCAAGAAACATATACTTGCCCTATAAGGGTTCAGAACCTCAGTGTTTATTGCTTAATAAAAATACTTTAAAATACAATCACAAAGCAGTTATTAACGTCAGGAAATCGAACATTGACTTAACGTCATTGACTCAATACTGTCGTTTATAACATTTTTTTCCTCCGATGCAGGCTTGGATTTAGGATCATATACTGCATTGCCTTGCTGTGTCTCTTTGGGAGTCTCTAAATGACTTTTGATACCGACTGCCAAGTTACCACAATTGTATTCTTTTGGGGTGGATTTCAAAAGTGAGAACTAAATTCTACGAAACATTTGAGTGGTCTGTTAGAAAAGAAATCTTTACTCATGCTTGTGTAGTGAGAAACCTCCTGATTTCAGAAATTAGATCTAGAAAGAATTATTTCCCCTGTTGGTTCCGATTTACTGAGCCGCTTGCAACGCCCTCAGAGTCCTGAAGATTGAAGTTGGTGGAACAGCGTTCGAGGAGACCTTGGGGACGCGGGTCCCAGAAGCAGCCCCGGGGCCCCGGGCGGGCGGCCGGGGCCATTGCCCCACGGGCGTGTTCTCGCACCCCGCAGTGGAGCAAGAGTTACACAGCTAGTGAGGAGAAGATAAACACCGCATCCCTCAGACTTTTCGTAACACGGCCCCTCCCTTGGGAAGCCCGAGCTGCCCCTCCCTGGCAGCAGTTAACCAGCAAAGGGGGAAAAAATAACTGACCGCAGCCAGGACATCAGAATGCACAGGCGTCAGAAAACACGCTGGGCAGGAAAAGAAATCAAGAACATTACGTGTCCAACGTCTAGACTCACAAGTTTGGGGAAACATGACTGATGTGGAAACTGCCCCTCCAGCCCCTCCCCACGAGCCGTCTGCACCGACCGCTCGCGGCTCTCCCGGTGCCAGGAGGGCAGAGCTCTGCGTGGACCGGACGTGTCATCAGTCCGTGTGCCCTGGAGTGACCAGGCCGACAGCTCCCCGACTCACACTTTCCGAAGTGACATCTCCTGGCCGTGCTGGTGTGCGGGGACCACCTGCTTCAGCGCCGGAGGGAGGGAGCCAGCAGAGGGCGCAAGGAAGAGGGGCTTGGGCCACACCCAGTGGCAGGTGCAAGTGCTGGAAATTTACCTAACCCTCGGGCTCCGAGGACCACACGTGACTGAGAACTGACCTTTGGGCAAGTTGACGATTATTCACCACTTCTGGGGGTGTGCCGTGCTGTGTGCGGTATGGTATCTCGTTCAGTCCCCACAACCCCAGGCAGTAGGTAAAATTACTGTCCCACAGATAAGAAGGACGATAAACGACTGGGCTGGGCTCCGACCCACCTCCAAGGCCCAGGCTCCCACCGGCACCGAAGCGTCATCCTCTCATGCGTGGTGGGGGCTGGGGTTTCCCAGCAGGGCTGGAGCGTCCCGGGAAGTCATGTGGCCTTAGAGCAGCTGTGTGGAAACGTCACCACCCCCCACCCCGGTCGGGGATGGAATGTCCCTCGGTCTCACGGAGCGTAGACTGCGGCCCGTCCCCTTGCCTTGTGGTCGTGGTGTTTGGTCTCTCAGCCTCGACAAACAACATCCATCTGTCAGCAGATGCTTCGGCTTCTGGGCCACTCGCCTCCCCCTCCCGAAGTCCCTTTGACCTCATCTTCCTCTGGGTTTCGCTTTCCAGCTTGAAAACAACCTGGGAGAAAATACACACGGTTTCCCCGACCTCCTGGGCCTCCGGTCTTCATTCATCTGCCTGGGCCTTTGGTTTTCCGTTAACGTTCTTCTTAGAGGTCACTGCTCGGTTCTCCTGCTCTCACTCCAATGTTTGAAAGCTTCGTGCTGAGTTCTGTTTTCCTGGAAGCTAGAGAACTCACAGGGTCATCTAGCTCCTATTCGCATGAGTAGGAGGGGACCGCGTCCCTCTGTGTGTCCACCTCTCCTGTCTGTGATTCAAGGGTCTTGAGGGCTCAGGAATTCCCTAGAAAGAGCCACCGCTGTCCTGCACGGCCTGCTCGTCTCACAGTTTTTCCTCTAGCGTCCGGAATACCGGTGGGCGTCCCTCAAACATAGTAGTTCCTTAAGCTGATGCTTCTCTGGCTAATAACAAAAACGCCCCCCAGGTACTGAGCACTTGTATGCGGAGCACTCAGAGCGGGCGATCAGGTCTGGCTCCTACGGCAACCCCGTGAGCGTGGTCTGTTTGTTACCTGCGTTTGACCCATGCGATGGAGAGAGCAGGAAATGCAGGACTGGCCCGAGCTCCCCACATGCAGCGTGGGAGTTGGAGTTCAGGCCTGAGTGGCCTCTGGACCCGTCATTACCAGCCCATGGCATACTCTACTCCAGGCTTCTCTTCCTGATTGATGGTCAAGATCAATAAGGATATCAATGTTCATATTTTTTATTGGAAAAAATTACAAACATAGCAGGATAATAACAAAACCCAATCGGACCCACCTCCCAAATGAGCAAATGGGAACATTTTGTCATAAGTTAAGAAACGAAATATTACCGATAAAGCAGAAGTCACCTGTGTCCCCTCCAGCCATATTCCTTGTCCTCCCTTCCAGCCTCCCTCCCTAAAGACAATGCAACCGCTGTTGTGTGAACACAATCCATGTGATTATATCCTTACTACACATGTGTGGGTCCGTAAATAATGTCATTGTTTTTGCAAAGGTTTAAATTTCAAATAAATGTTCTCGCAGTGATTGTAATGTTTTATAACTTTATCCACTAACATCACGCAATGTGTTCTCTCCACGCTGATACTTACATATCTGGTTAGTATTTTTAATCTAATTGTTGTACAGACTTCCACATAATGAATAGGATGCAGTTGTTTAGTTCTCTTCCTAAGGGCCTTTTGTTTTATTTTGCGTGGATTCATTGTTCACTATGACAATCAATGCTGCAATGAGCATCCTTATGCGTATTTTCTTGTTCATGGCTTTCTTTGTGGTCTGTATTCAAAAGGAGGCCTTTGTTATATATAAACAATTTTCTTAAAAAAAAAAAAAAAGAAAAAGGACGACAGTGTCTTGTGGAAAGCATTTTTTCTTATAAAGAACAGACACTGGCTACACCCCAAAGCTCCTAGCGAGCACCAGTAAACACACTTAGAACAGCCTGGATGTTCGCCTGTCGGGGGGAGTTTGGGGTCTCTGCCAGTTTCGTCTTGCTTAAGGCCATCAGAGTCCCTCGGCAAATGAAAATGCGTTCGGAGGTACTCAGGGCGGCTATTTCATGAAGAAATGAATACTCTAGGGTCCTAATCCTGGGCCTGAAGACAGAGGACTTTATTTCAGCGATTACCCTTCAACATAAAAATAAAACCAGGATCTGATTCGTGATGCCCCCATCCCTCATCGCTGCTCCCCTGTCTTTGGTAAGGTTGCTAAGAACCTTCTAGGCTTGGGGACTTCCAGCATGGATTCTGCCCCAGAAGTCACCTTGCTCACCAGCACAGCGGTGGTTGACGTCCTGTCAAAGTTCTTTGTGGGGACCTCGCACCAAGTGATGTCGCTCCCCCTGCCTTAACCGTCATTGCCCAGACAGTGACAAATTCGATGCTGTCTGGCCATGGTCAGAGCCCATGCATCTGTAGGTGGCCTAAAATCAAGTAAGAGGAAAGAGACAGCTCTACGGTGTCCAGAAATAGAATGAGAGGTGGGTGGGTGACATTTCCATTGCCCTTTGGAGTCATGACTTAGCTTGGGTTTCCACCCACCACAGCCACTTAGTGGTGGGTGAAAAGGCTGTGATGTGTTTCAAAGCCAGGCAGGCACCTCCACGGGTAGAGGTAGAAACACTGAAATGACTTCTCAGCTAATGAGACCCCAGAGGCTGTTTGAGGAGCTGCCTGGGAAACGTCCCTACTTCACACGTGGAGAACAGTAGCCACTCTCCCTCATCCCTCGTTTCTTGATGAGAGGCCTCGTGCTGCTGCGGGCAAAGCGTGGACCAGGACCCAGCCCTGCCACTCAGGACTTAGAGCCGCCATCCACTGAGCACCTTACGCGTGCCCCGCACTGTGCCATGCCATCCGTATGTGTGCGGTCAGCTCAGCAATGGTCCCCAACGATGTCCCCATCCCAACCCCTGGAACCTGTGAACATGTTAGGGCACGTGGCCAAAGGGCATTACAGTCACAGATGAAAATAAGGTTACTAATTGGATGAGCTCAAGATGGGGCCGTGATCCTGGATAATCAGGTGGGCCCAGTGTAGTCACAAAGTTCCTTAAGCGTGGAAGAGAGAAGCGAAGAGTCAGGATCACAGAGAGGTTTGAAGACGCTGTGCCGCTGGCTTGAAAACAGAGGAAGTGGGGACAAGCCGAGGAACGCAGGTGGCCTCTGGGAGCTGGGAGGGCAGGGCGTGGTTCTCTGCCCGAGCCTCCAGCAGGCACGCAGCCCTGTTCACGCCTCCATCTTAGCCCAGTAAGCTCCACTTTGCACTTCTGACCTCCAGGACTATAAGATAATAGATTTATGTCTTATTAAGCCTCCGGGT